ATGCAGCCAGTGCAGCGGCTGCCGGGGCCAGAAAGCGCCGCCCGGAGCTCGGAGGAAGCAGAGCGCGCCGCGCCCCTGCCACTGACCGAGGTAAGAGCGCTGCTGCCTGCGCACGGACCCCAGACGCTGGGCCCCAGCTATCCTCAGGCAGCCTTCCTGGCCCCTAGTTCGGACGAGGGCAAAAGGGAAGGTGGAGCAAGAAGGTTTGTTTTTTGTTGTTGTTGTTGTTTTGTTGTTGTTGTTCCTTTCGCTTGCGTTCTTTCTCCCTTGGTGAACCATCTGAGGAAATGCTGACAGGGAGCTTTTCTTCCGCTGCCATGTCTCCGGCTACTGCCACCAGGGAACTTTGCTACAGCTAACCTTCATCTGGGGTGCTTCGGATAACTTTGAGAAGCCTTTGGTCCTTCTCTGCTCAGTTTGCATGTGGGGGCTCGGGAGGGAGCCGGCAAGAGCCACTTTGCGCGGGGTATCGGTCCTAGGCATGACCTTCTCTGAGACCCCGCGATCGAGGTGCAGGTACCGAGGGGCGTTCGGGATTTACGAGAGGGCCTGAAGAACGACCCCGGCCCGGGACCTAAGGGCTTTTGGGTTATTTTTCAATCACACCTCTTGTGCTCTAGTGGAGTAAAAATATTCTGGAAATGGTTCTCAGCCAGTGAGCTCGCTGACAAGTCCAGCAGCTTTTTTTGTTTTTGTGTTTGTTTTTTAAAAGTCGGCCTTGGAAACCCCGCAGAGGCTCAGGGTTGTTGGGCCCTCCTGTGCGCACAAGGCTGCTCTGAGTGTCCTGAGGGGTAAACTGGGAGGCGATCAGGGGCTCCTGAAGTGGCGGCTGGGTAGGGAACTCCTGGGGGGTGCTTCAGATGGGAGTGGAGGCCCATACCAGTCCGTCACGTGCATGTTTTAAAAGCTATGTTTAGAATGGGAGTCACCTGATAGTGTTGTTTGGTGGTGGTCTCTGGTTCTGGGAGGTCCTGCCTCCCCGAAGCCTGGACCATCAGGGACCAGGGAAACCCCCTCCCCATTTGACAGGGGAGTATTCATCCTGCAGTGTTGAGACTCCCTGTGGCCATTTCCAGTTTCTTCATTCTCCCCTGCATAGGCTTGAGCCTTGCATCAAAGCGCTGGCGACCTCCTGCCCCCTGCATCTGCCTCTCAGAACCCGGTTCCCAGGCTCTGTTTCCCTGGAGCGCCGAGGCGCCCACACGCCGCTGAAATCGGCAGCCGCCTCCTTGAAGGTGCCAACCTAGAAGGCGTTAGCCTCCGGCCTACCCTTCGCCCCCTCCTCCAGGTGCTGGTGGAAGCCATCCCTTGAATGCTGTCTCACCTGGACTGGATCCCAGCCTCACCTGCACTGGGCTTTCAGATTGAAGCCCCTCCTCTCAAAGCTCCACCCTGGACGGCAGCCATGTGGCAGGAGAGGGCCAGAGAGGGGAGGTGCAGCTCAGCACCAGAGGCTCTGAGGAATCATTCTGAGGAGCCTTAGCTCCTGTGTTCTGAAAAGAGCTCTCCTCACCGCTGTGTCTGTTAGAGGCTCCCTAAGAGACGTCCAGTAAAATCTGCCCCTCATTTTCTTAGTGGCCCCTCTAAACAGCTAGGGGATTCAAGGTTGGTTGCTTCAGGAGGGGACCCTGGGTGGGTTGTATCAGGTGAGGTCAAGACCTGAGATAGAGCAAGTCTGAAGCAGGAAAGACCAAAGCATTCTTGGGACAAAGAGGGAGGCTTCAGTGTGCTGGACAGCAGAGCCAGACCCTCTTCTTCACTGGAGAAGCACTGAGCACATGCAGTAGGCACTCTGTAAATGCCGACTGTTGCCATGGCATGGCAGGCATGTGCACAGTGGAGGGATGTTAGGAGCTCAACTGTTTGAGGAGGAAGATGTGACTGGATAAGGTATTGTCCAAGGTCACACGGCGGGCAGCTGGGCTGAAATGGAAGCTTTGACTAGCTCTCCCCAGGTTATGGGGCTTTCCCTGCCAGCCTCGCTCCCCAGGATTGCTGTATCCTTCTTTCTCAGTCTGCAGCAAAGGGAACAAGGAGCACTAGGTGGCCTGCAGATTGAAATAATAATGACAACAGTGATAATAGTAGCCACAGTACTGGTGACAGTACTGCCCTACATCTCTGCAGCACTGGGACCAGTGCAGCCCATGGGCAGTTTCCTCTGGCCTAGCCATGCCTCCAGTGTCCTGAGCCATGGTTAGCAACAAAACACCAAGCATGGCACTGGAGGCCTTGGCACATGGTTGGGGTAGAAGTGACTGTATTGTCACTCCCACAACTTCTATGGTTCTTTCCAACTCCCAACCCTAACCCCTTGGCAAGGGCTACTGGTGCCCTCGCAGTGGGCACCCTCAGCCCTTGTTCCTAGCTTAACTCTGGCCTGGGCTGTCATCTGACAGGTGCAGCCAGTGTGGTGGCTGGGCCTCAGACAGGGCTGCACTGTGAGCAATACATGACAGACCTGTCCAGTCCCTGGGGCCTGCCCCTGGAGCCCTGCCATAGGCTGGCACCAAGGTGAGGCTAAGATGGGCAGCTCATGGGCAGCAAGAGGGGTAGAGGCTGGGCTAGCCATGTGGAATGAGTGGAGGGCGTGGGCTCAGCCCCATGAAGGAGACTGCTTTGCTTTGGTGAGCCGGCAGCGGCAGGGAAAGGCTGCAGATGAAAGTGAGCTGCCCAAAACTGGGCCACGCGGGCAGGGTGCCTGAGGCTTCACAGGAGTTGTGGGGGTGGGGTGGGGTGATGAGCTAGGGCTGGTGGGTTTTCCAGAGCAGCTGGGCCCAGGGAAGGACCAGAGCTCTGGCTAGGCACTGGCTGAGGGCCCAGGGCTCTGCCAGCTTATTTAATTTCCTAATGGCCTGCCAGAGCAGAGGGCAGCATTAGCTCTATAATACAGACAGGGGTTGGAGGCAGGGGAGGCTCTGGAGGGCCACAGCCTGAATGCCTCCAACTCAGAGCCTTGCAGCGCTCCCTGGGGTAGATCACACCCTCCTTGGACCACGGACACCCTGCCCTAGGCAGCTGTGTGCCAGGTTGTTTGGACTCCCTGTGCCTGCCTGCATTCCAGTTCGACATCCTTAGGACCTAATGAAGGCCTGGTATGCAATAGTGCTAAGAGGATGCTCCATGAGGCTTCAGTGGTAGCTCTTGCTCTGCTGCACTAATACAAGCTGTGGTGGGCATGAGAGCCGGGAGTGGAGACCCTGGCAGGCCACTTCGAAGTGTCCTGTTTGCAGAAATACTGAATGAATGTCTGTTGAATCAGTGGCTATCACTGTGTGGGAGGAGACCTGAGGAGAGACAAGCAGTGCCAGGGAGGTATTGGAGCCAATGGGACAGTCACTGCTGGCTTTGATTTCTTGTCTGTGAAGTGGGACTGAAGCCCCTGGATAGGGGAAGTGGAAATGTGAACCTTGTCATATGTTTCTGGGAGACATGCAAAGGGAGTCTTTGGGTGTGCAAAAAGGGCCCTGGGAAGGAAGGGGTATGAATGTTTGTGGTGTCAGAGCCTTGGGAGTCTGTCACTCCAGACTGGCCTTCCCTTGGCCTGGAGACAGAAGTAAGTTGGCTGCAGCAGAAGTAGCCTCAAAGGTGGCCTTGTGTCCTGGTGTGTTGCCCACGTCTACCCCGCTCCCTCTGCCACCTGCTCTGATGTTCTCAGCTCAAGCTGTCCTCCTTGGCTGCTGAGTGGCAGCTGCTGAGGTGGTATAAGGCTGTGGGGACCCTAGGGACCTGAGGCCAACTCCCATATTAGCCTGCAGTCGGGCAGCATGACCAGCCATGGTGGACCCCTTTGCTTAGCTTCCCTGGGGAGTGGTTCTATCCTCTTAGAGTCAGTGGGCGCAGCTTTCTGAGTCCTGTCTGGGACCCCTAACCTTCCCTCCAGGCCTTGGGCAGCTGAAGCCTCCCTTCTATCGCTCAACTGTGGCCCAGGCCTCTTTGAAAGATAGGCGTGGGGAGAGGCCAGGGAAGAAACAGTAAAGCTTAGGGAGTGACAGGCTTCCACCTGGGACTTTGTTGCTTGAGCACTACCGTGTGCACAACATGCTGTGAGTGTCAGGGCCCTCCCACAGTTCCAGCCTGGCCTCACTCTCCTGTCTCACTTTCTCTCCTCTGTGGCTACCCCGCCTGCCCTCCCTGTTATACTTCCCAAAGACCAGGCGTGCTCCTGCCTCAGGATCTTGGCGTGTCATACTTCTCTTGCCCGGACTGCTCTTTCCCACATCCTTACACAGCCTCTTCCTCACCACGTTCAGGTGTTGCCTAGATACTGCCTTCTTTCTGAGGCCTTCCTGACTCCCCTGTACAACACTGTGTCTACCCTTCCAGGACCCTGATTCTCTCCCTACTTGATTTTTTGGTAATCCTGTATATCTGCCACATAGTATTTTATTTGTTTGTTTATTGTCTGTCTTCCCTTGAAATATAAACTCCTTTATATTTGCAGTCTTGGTCCTGTTTACCATGGCTGTATCCTCTAGCTCAGTAAGCACTTGGGCACGAATGGGTCGCTGTGGCTGTGTGTGCTGCTTGTTCAGAGCATGTGCTCAGCCACAGTTGTAGCTAACATTACTGTCCATTCTGCAGATGAGAATATCAAGCTTAAGAGGGCAGATGTCATTGTTCTAGAATTGTGGGGCTTGTTGGGAGCAGAGCTAGGATTCACTTTTCTGTTGAAGCTTTGGCCAGCCATCTGTCTGGCCGAGGGGCAAGGAGTGAAATTTATGTCAGGTTCCTCCTCTGTATTGAGCTCTTTATGTCTTTGTCCTCTTCTGCTGAAAGCTCTGAGCCTTGCTGTGTCCCAGCTCTGGAGGACTCTACTCCAACCTGCAAGTGTTGAAAACTGGTCTATTGTAGAGCTGAGCAAACTGAGGTCCACAGAGTGGAGCTTCAGCTCTCCACTGACCCCTTTAAATTGAAGAATCTTATCACCTTCCTTCCTTTAGTAGAAGTGTATAGGGGCCCTGGCTTTAGGAGGTGGTATGGTGGGAATGTCTCCATTTCTTGCCCAGATAAGCATTTTCAGACTCCAACGACTGCTTGGGTTTTATGTCAGTGTATTTTACTTCCCCTTTCCAATCTCCTGGCACACT